CTATAGAAAAGTCTATTGACTTGTCTATAGAAAGGTCTATTGACTCGTCTATAGAATAATCTATTGACTAGTCTATAGAATAGTCTATTGACTCGTCTATAGAATAGTCTATTGAATCGTCTATAGACTAGTCTATTGACTCGTCTATTGGCTTATCTATTGACTCGTCTATGGACTAGCTATTGATTCGTCTATTGGCTAATCGTCTATGGACTAGCTATTGACACGCCTATTAGCTCGTCTGTAGACTAGAGTATTGACTTGTCTATTGATTCGTCTATGGACAACTCTATTGTCTAAGTCTAAGCTTAGTCTATTGACTAGTCTTTGTACGGAGTAGTCTATTAACTTGAATGTATATGGCCTAGTATTTTGACTTATCTATGGACTAGTCTATTGACTAATGTATGTAGTCTTTTGACACAATTAGTAACCGTCGACTTTATGGTATATGTATTCTAGATTTTTGTAAGATTCTAAGACGATCTGGATATTCCCTCTGTTTGCTGTTGGCATTATAGTTTCTCTAGAGAGAAGAGATTTTGAGAAAGTATTCTTTATTGATTATATATCTTTGATATTGAAAAAATCGGTCAATGATTTCACCTAAACCACACACAAGTGTTCCCCGGGATACATTTTAAATATACATAAAAAACAGAAGGCCTGTTAAAATCTTTAACACATTTTTGTTGATTTGTTCTAAGAAATCGATCATACTCTCAAATTCTGTAATGATTTTAACCAGGCCTCCATAAATGGCCTTCTTCCGAAAATCATTCTGATGCTCATATTAATATCGATATAAGACAATACAATTCAGCATGTGGTAATAAATTAAAAAGGATTAATCCATATGATCTAGAAACATTTTCCAACTTTGATGACGGGTATTTAAGATTCGGAAAACCAGAATGAATATGTTTCATCATTATCGTGATCCCTCAATTTCCACAAATCAAAAACTGGGAAAATTTCCCAGTACTTTAAATCTCGAACATTCTTTTACAAAGTTCTATTTAAATCAAATAATTTCATCGTTGTAATTAATTGAAAAATGTCTTCATTCTTTGAATTAACAAATTCTTGTTATACCCTACATCACTATAGTGGGGAGGGTATTATACGTTTGTGCTGATGTTTGTAACACACAAAAATATTGGTCCTACACCCACCTTTAAGTATACCGATCGATCAGAATCACATTTTGAGTCGATTAAGACATGTCCGTCCGTCCGTCTGGCTGGCTGGCTGTCCATGTAAACCTTGTGCGCAAGGTACAGGCCGCAATTTTCAAGATAATTTGATGAAATTTGGACCAAGCATGGCACAAGGACGAAGCCTATTGAAAATGGTTGAAATCGGTCCATTATTCCATACAAGATATACTCATGGTGTAGGGTATTATATGGTCGGCCATGCCCGATTATACTTTCCTACTTGTTTTTGGCATAAGAATTTTTGAATCTGAATGTGTTGGTGGATTCTGTGGTAGTTTGAGTAGTTAGCCAAGAGTTTGTAGTGGTTAGCAGTAGATATTTTTTGGATTTAAACAATTTAAAAGTTTTGCAGCAATATCTTTTTATTTGGCATACATATGCATTGATGTCTCTATGTGTAAATGCGTGTAAAAGTATGTGTTTAAGCTCAATCGCGTTTGGCTGATGATAGTAAGTCGGGCTTGTCATACTCAGAATATTAAGACTTGTTGCTGTTTTTTTAGCCAATATTCTCTGCTGCTATTGCCATTGTTCTTGCTGTTCTTATTCTTAAACTTCTGAGTTTTTTTGCTGTATGCTTATGGTAGTGGTTTTTGTTGTTGTTATTGTTGCAGTTGGTAACTTATCGTTTGGTTATGGTACGAGTAGATACATTCATATAAATATCTGAACATATATACATTTTTTTTACCGTATTACGAACCATAGCGGTAAAAACGTCAACTACAAATTATACAGTTATATTTTGTGCTGAGAAGTAGTTGCTTGACTGTGTCTGTCTGTACGTGTGTGTGTGTGTGTCTACATGATGGTATATGTATGTTATAGCCAAGAATGTTGTGCAAGAACAAGAATTAACTAACAACAACTGTAATAAAAAACAGAAACATTAACCAAGAAACCGTCAGAATAAAAAGAACTTGGTAGTAAAGTAATGGAAAAATAATAAAAAAAAAACAGAAGGTAACATGGAAAAAAAGACAGTCAGAAAACCAGTAGAATAAAACACATGTACAAGTACAAGTACGTGCATTACATTGGAAAAAAGTTGAATTAACAGAAAGAACTACAAACTTGAAGCCCCGTTTAAGAAGCCCCCCCAAGCCGACATATGTACATCTCCTCGCCATAACAGTACTTTCAAATGGCGTACAAGCGACTGGCGGCTGGCTGCCTACATTATTATGACGAGTAAATCCACTCAAACCCGTAGTAGCTGACAGTAGCCAAGTTGTTTAAAAAACATATGCAGTCTTCTCTGACTTGTCATGAATCTTAGAAGAATCATTTATTTAAATTCTAATGAAGAGTCTACAAAAATAAATATCCACAAAAAGAAATAGCCAAGTATTATTGGTTTGGTAGTTAGTTTTTAGTTAACGTTTATGAGGTTTTAATGAAAAGCTATTTTATTACCATTTTTATGGTTTTACACTTTATTTATTATACCTTCATCTTCATTTGTTGTTTATTTTTCTTCATTTTTTTTTCTTTTAAATAATCGTACAATATAAATTGTTGCGGCAGTTGTGGTCATTTATATTTGAAAATTATGTTTTTCCTCATCTGTTCAATAGCTAACCAACTTTTTTGTAATTTATATTTGACCTTGATTGATTATTTTTGGTTAGAATAATACTGGGCTAAAAACTTGTTAGATAAATTTTTTAACCAAACACAAATTTATCATATTAATTGCATTTTTTTTTGTAATTTTTACCTAAAGCTTATACTAGAGTTGCAATGACAACTTTAATTAATCTTTAATTGAAAAAGTGTTGTATTAATTATAGAAAAATATTTTACCCCAAAATATTTAATCGCACCACACCCACCTTAAATTACACGAATTATAATTACTTCTTGAATTTACTTAATCATTTCCTTTCGTCTGTCCATGTAAACCTTGGAACCAAAATAAAACTTATAATTTTCAAAATAATTCGTTGATATTTATTATAAAAGCCATTGGAATACACATATATCGTTTGAACTTATGTTAGGTTAGGTTCAGGAAGGTTATTTACCATAAGGTATAACTCCCCTAAGAGATCGCTGTGGTCCAATTATGATTTCTTTTACCTTGACTAAAAGAGAGATATAAAAAAGACAGACAGAAAGAGAAAGATATGGATCCTCCGTCTTGTCTACGTGATCCGGTTTTGTTTCTTGAATCTTTGCACTCGGATCTCGAAATAATTGAAATATGAGATCAGGAGGAGATCAGAATCTTCGCTAGACAATAAAATGATCTAAAGTCCATTACTCCTCAGTTTGTTGTACAATCTATTTTCTAGCCATTTTTCTCAGAGACTCTGTATTCTAGGAGAATGGTAAACTATATAATCAATCGCCTCTAGGTCATCAACATTCTCGCAGAAATATATTCTTATTCAACAATAACCCGATAAAAAGCCTATCAAAGTCCCTAGACTATAACTGTCCAGCCCCATAAGAAAACCAAGATGTCTTTCTATCAAGTCTTGGCAATAAGACATTTTCCTATTCCTGGTCGATAATAAATCATCTTATAAAAGTGACAAATTGATGTCTTCGCCTTCTGTCCCTTCTAATTTGGTCCAAATTCGAGACTTGGAAGTTTTCCTGGAATATATACGTTTGAATGTTTATATATATATTACAGTTTACGCTCAGAAGGACTACGCACTATCAAGAGCAATTCTACTCGGAGGCCATTAAGGTTCAATGTTATTCACTTTATCAAGATTAAACGAGAGAGATTAAATAACAAGTTCTATCGACATTTTTTCTCGATTTCGAAGAGGAAATCAGAATCCTCACTAGACAATGACCTAGACTACATCTGTCCAATCCCACAAGTATATTGGTTTGCTTAATTTAACTAATCCAAGTCTGATTGATATTGTCACGGAATCTATCATAGATCATCGTGACAAATTGGTGATTTGGTTGGAACCTCTTGGTCCTCTTCCTCATTATATTGTACTTTGATGTGTCCTAGTAACCAACACCTTATACATTTTTATATTCTACGACTCAGAACATTTCCAAATTCTACCACTAGAATACAACATATCAATAAATGCAACCTGAGAACCACAAAACGATGTGATCTCATATCAGTTCCGTGGCTTTCCAGATCGCTAGGATCATCGCTTGAAAGATACTGCATCACCTGGGAGTTTAATGGACACCATTTAAACATTATATACACAGGTACTAGTGCCAGTAATCAGTTTACTCGAACAGTTTATCAGATCTAAGCCTGAAGACTAAAGTCGTAATCCTATGATATGATATTCCAATACAAATTAACCTGATCAAGTAGACCTACTTCGTACATAGTTCGCAAAGGTTTGACTAACGAAGACTGAGTAGGTTAGTAGCTACCACACTCGCTACACAGAGTTTAATAGGGGACGGATAGAGTAGCATTTTCAATGCTTCTAGTGGCACCAGTGATGTCTAAAAAGCTTTATTGGAGCAAAGGTTCGATATTATTTATATTTCAATAAAATTACTTAATTTACCCAAGACCATATTCCCGTTATAGTAAAAAAGGCCGCAACCACAACTCTTAGTAGTCTAAAACTAGACCAGCGAACTACCAACTAATATAGGAGACCAATATAAATTTAATAATTTATATAAAATTTCCAGTTTGGGTCAAAATTTATAGTGGGTGAATCGATTTGGACACTTAAATAGTGGACGAACAAACTTATATTTTTATAACTTGCAATAATCGTATTAATGCTCATACTAAGGCCTAAAAATATACTTCTCGGCACTACTAACCTGTCATTGCTCCACTTGTACTCGGTCCCGTATATTGTTCCCTCGATGTTGAGGCAGCCGATGTTATCGTTGCCACCGCCTTAGTCGATGTCGTTGTGCTGGTGGTTGACGTTGACGACAGCGACAACGACGGCATCGATGACTGTGTATTTTTATTTAAAGTTTGGCGTTTAATCACAATTTCGGTTGGTATATCGATGGTCATTGATTCTGCCGTTGATACCGACGATGTATTGGTAAGAGTTGTTACGGGTTCAAAGCAAACATCCAAGAGTGTAGTACCCGATGAAGTTTGCAAACCGGCAATATCTTTTAAATCAATCCAACTGGCACCCACCTTATCGCTATCGGTTAAGGGTAAACTTAAGACCCGGGTATCGTTTTCATCGACAATGTGAAATGCTTGAGTTGGTTCGATTTTCACTATAATCGGTTGATTGGAAATAATGTGAGATTGTTGTTGTTGTTGTTGCAGCTGCAGCTGTTGTTGATGTTGATGATGCTGTTGTTGTGATGGTTGTTTAGCGACTTCTTCCAGTTCCTCGAGATCTTGGCTGTCTATATGAACAGCATTACTGGGAATCATGAGAGTTGTGGTAGTTGTTTCTGAAGATGAAGGTGAGGCCGACGTTGCAATAATTGCATTCGCTGACGTAGAAGCTGAAGTAGTTGAAGATGAAGTGTTAGAGGTTTTACGCACCACATCGAATTTTAATATTGTACACTTGTCGGTTTGCTGATATTGATGTTGTTGCTGTGGTCGCTGCAACACCAAACTGGGCACACTCCTAACCAGAGTAGCGGTTTTGGTGCCCGCTGTGGTTGTTATAAAAGTCAAAGGTGGTGAAGTAGCCTTGTTGGCTGTGGAAATAGTACGCACCGTAGTGTTTGAGGGCAAAGGAAATATAGAAATTGAGGGAACTTTAGTGTTTATAACACTACCAGCAGCAACATTGGCAGCAGTGGAAAGGGTTTCGCTGTTGGCAGCCGTTGTAACGGTAGTGGTTACGTGGCTGTCATCTCCAGCAGCTGCCACCGACGTTGACGTCGTCGTTGTCCTTAGCTGCCCTATAGGCTGCTGGATCAATACCAAATTAGTTTTCTCCGTCGTGGTGTTGTCGTTTAGGTAACCTTGATCGGCAACCCCAGATGCGTATGTTAAAAACTCCTCCTCTACTCTGTTAACTGATGAATTTCTTGATTTATCTTTCAACTTAAGGTTGTGTAACACTAATGTTTAATGTGACTGACGGCTATGGGCTGTTTTTCGATTGATGACGACGCAGTCAATGTTGAGCTTAATGTATTTTTATTTTACTTTCAGTGCTTAACTCCACTTTGTGTGTTGTTGTTGTTGTTTGTTAATTTTATTTAAGGTTTTTTGTTTAAAACATTCGAGTCTTAAGGTTTGTGCGTTTAATTATTTTTGCATCCCTTACCGTAGGGGATTTTTGTGTCTTATATTTAGTTATTTTTCTTTGTTGTTTAATCAAATTTTGATGATATTTTAAAATATTTCAAATATTATTTTATATATGTTTATCGTAAATATTTAACGATTGTACGCGATATGCAGGAATATATAATATTCAAAGAGAAACACGAATATAACGAAGATATTTGACGACTCTATAAATAGTTTTTAGATTTAACAGATTATCGTTATTTAATTAGTTTTTCAATATAAATGTAGATATTTAGTTTCAGCTCATATTACTACTTGATAAAACTTTTTATTAGCTTTAAGTGTTTTATGTCAATTTAGTTAACATACTGCCACAAAGCCGCCAAAAGTTAGCAATGTTTATTAGTAGTATTAGATTTGAGTATTTTAGATGAATACCACTGATAATGAGGAGGTGTTTTTACTAACCCAGCAAACCAAAATTGTTGATTTGAAATTATTGTATATCATGGCGATGGCAGATCGAAACTGTGTCGAGGAAATGCAAAAACTTTGAATGAAATCATTGGTATTGTAATGGATAGATTGGAAGATAGATGAAGTTTGTTGAGGCTCCTTGTAGAAACGGGTGGAATTATTTCTATGTACTTAAAGAGGAGATTGGAGTTTATGACATGTTTATGAATAAAGTTTGGTTGCCTTATAGGCTAAATTACACCTTGATTACGGTGCACACCTGAAGGATAATGCTTTTTAGCCTATGAAGAAACTTGGCAACCATTAAGCCACATGAAACTCCTATTGAAAATGATCAGCACACACATGGTGAATGTGTAAAACTTGGCACAAAATTAAGGATATTTGCAATGGATAACACGGAATATGGAAGAAGTTTGTTGAGCCCCTATGTTTCTTACAGACAATAGATCAAGATAATGTCTACAATCTCGTTTATAATCTGGATTTACAACTGTCTGGTCCACTGTCTTGATTATAATGTGGACTAAAGTCCCGACTATTGTCTAGAATATATTCTACCCTATAGTGTTGAATATAGTCTGATATTTAGAGATATTTAGATATTATCCCATTGCTTTCAATTTAGTATAGTCTACAATTTCCTACAATCTGGTCTATAGTATCCATCATAGTCTGGTCTACCACTATAGTCTGGTCTATGTATTAGAGATTGGTTCATATATTTCACCATAGCTTCAACTACGGTCTCGAATATTGTCAGGTCTATAGTCGCGATTATAGTCTTGTCCATAGACCTTAGGTTAGCTCATAGTTTCATATATAATTTGGCGTTTAATGTCTAGTCTATAGTATCGATTTTTATTTCGACTATAGTATGTTCTATGGATTAGAGATTGGACCATACATTTCACTATTCACTACAGGCTCGAATATTTTCGGGTCTTTAGGCTTGATTATAGTTTGGTCTATAGATCAGAAATTAGTTCATTGTTTCGACTATACTTTGGTTTACAGTCCCATTTATAGTCTGCTCTATAGTTTCGAATATTATCACGACTATAGTCTGGTCTATTTAATAGAGATTGGTCCATATATTTCACTACAGTCTCGAATATTATCAAGTCTATAGTGTCGATTATATTCTTATCTGTAGAACAGAGATGAGTTCACAGTTTTAAACATAATTTAGTGTACAGTCCCTGGTCTATAGTCTCGAATATTATCTGGACTCTAGTCTGGTCTATGGATTAGGGACTGGTCTATATATTTCGCTATAGTTTCAACTGCAGTCTCATATACTGTCGGATCTTTACTTTCGATTATAAGTAGTTGGTCTATATACTAGAGGTTAGTTCAAAGTTGCGAATATAATTGGGTCTACAGTCTCCTTTATAGTCCGATCTGTAGTATTGATTATTATTTCGACTATAGTCTGGTGTATGGATTAGAGATTGGTCCATACATTCCTCTATAGTTATCACTACTGCCTCGAATATTGTCAGGACTTTAGTGTTTATTATATTTTGGTCTATAGATCAAAGATTAGTTCGTAGCTTTTAATAAAATTTGGTCTACAGTCTCCTTTATAGTCCGATCTGTAGTATAGAATATTATTTCGACTATAGTCTGGTTTATAGATTAGATATTGGTCCATTAGTTCAACTACAGTCTCGAATATTGTCAGGTCTATAATCTCGATTATAGTCTGGTGTATAGTCTCAATTACATTCTGGTCTATAGATTCTATAACTAGTCTGATAGTCTGATCTAGTCTTGGCCATAATTTGGCCTATAATCCCTCGGAATTTTAGCGGCAATGATAGTTCTGCTGACATTGATTTTAAGTCAAAACAAAGTTATGCTGAACAACTGTTTTAATATTGTTGAATAAAAGCTAAAGTGTTCGTATAAGATGAATGCACTGCTTTAAATTTCCGGCCACCAAAAACACTACACATCCTGATTTCTGCAAACATATCAAGTGCAAGTACAATCTCTGCAAATTTCATTTTGCATATTTTTAGTTTGCTGGGTTAAAGTTAAACACATACACGCATATTCTTGCAGAAATATTAAGGTGTATGAGTGTGAAATTACACTTACATGTATATTTTTCATTTATTTTATTATATTTTTTTATATATTTATAAACACAGAATCACAACATTTAAATAAATTTTTCGAGTAAAAAATATGTTTCGCAAATTCAAAATTTCATTAACGCATTTTTAGTTATTTTCAATTTTTTTTTTTTTTTGATAAATTGATTGATTTGTTTGTTGTTGTTTTTCTTCTCGTTAAAACTTAATAATTAACCTTTTGGAGTTTTTAGTTGTTTATAAAAAAATCAGCCTTTTAAGTGCACTTATAAAAACGTTACAACATTAAGGTTAAAATTAAAATTAATTTTTAAAAAAATAAATTGCTTTAAATAAACACGAATTGCTTAAGTTTGTTTTTTCTTTTCTTTTTTATTTTATATCCAGCGTTTTTCCCGTAACAATTTAACGAAAGTGAATCTCTTTTTCTCCTGTTGGCTGGTCGAGAAAAAAAAAAACGGAAAGAAAATACGAAACAATAGAAAATTCCTGATGAAAAATAGTTTTATTCAAGCTTTGATTTTGTTCTTAAAATGTTATTAATTGCTGTTATTTTGTTTATTTGTTTTTGTTTTAATAATTTTTATTTTGCAAATTCGTTTCGTTTTCTATTATTATTATTATTTTTAGCGTATTTTTCTTTTTTTTTAATATTATTTTTTTAAATGCAATCTTAACTTTTCTGTATTGCACAAACACTAACAGACTGGATGGATGGATGGTTTGAATATTTTTTTTTTTCTTCTTTAGATGTAGATGTGTATCCTGGCTGCAACAATGCGAACGAACATAAATGCAGCAGCGTGTGCGCACTCTATAAGCTCAGGGTGAGAGAGAATAGGGAACGGCGGGGGTTCATTTGCAACATGAAGAAGCACACACAGGAAAAACACAACAATAATTCACACACACTCTAAAATCAAAACAGAAAAAAAACTTTCTTTCAACATGGGGTGCTGCTGCCACAAATAATGTCAAAGTAATTGGAAGTGTGTCGTTTCACAACAACAACAACCAAAGCACCATACATGAAAATTGTAAGAAAAAAAAAATTCAACATCTCTAGCAACCATCCCCCACACTATAATAAACCGTTAGATAAATTAAGGAAAAATCAATATTTCCGCCTAGAGTTGCCATATTTTCTTTTGCTTTTTAGTATTTGTTGTTATTGAAGCACATGTTTTTCTTAAAAATTGCAATTCAAATGTTTTATTTATGTTTTTGTTGTTGTTTTTTTTTTTTTAATGAAATTTTCCTTATAACACTTTGCTATTTTTGTTTGTGTATGATTTTGTTTTTTTTTTGTTTGAAATCTTCCAGTTTTTGCGTTGAATACTTCTCTACTTTTAGAATACAAACAACAGAATGCAGCATGTTTGTATTCATTTTTTGTTGTTTTTGTTTTTTTATTTTATTTTTTGTTATTGTTGTTGCTTTCAACGAAATATCCAGCAAGGACACGAAAATTCTTCCAGTTTTTCATATCGTTCCAGGATTGCGTATAGAGCAGAAATATTAATGTGTTATGCTTACTACTGGTTGTTGTATGCAAGGCAGTGCTTTAAATCTATGGTTTCTTAGAGAATATGTATTTATAGTAAAAAAACCTTATCAGTGTTTTAATGTATTAGAACTGAACTAAACCTTAACTACACTAGAACTGAACTAGAACGGAACTAGAACTGAACTAGAACTGAACTAGAACTGAACTAGAACTGAACTAGAACTGAACTAGAACTGAACTAGAACTGAACTAGAACTGAACTAGAACTGAACTAGAACTGAACTAGAACTGAACTAGAACAGAACTAGATCTGAACTAGAACTGAACTAGAACTGAACTAGAACTGAACTAGAACTGAACTAGACTGAACTGGAACTGAACTAGAACTGAACTAGAACTGAACTAGAACTAAACTAGAACTGAACTAGAACTGAACTAGAACTGAACTAGAACTGAACTAGAACTGAACTAGAACTGAACTAGAACTGAACTAGAACTGAACTAGAACTGAACTAGAACTGAACTAGAACTGAACTAGAACTGAACTAGAACTGAACTAGAACTGAACTTGAACTGAACTTGAACTGAACTTGAACTGAACTTGAACTGAACTGAACTAGAACTGAACTAGAACTGAACTAGAACTGAACTAGAACTGAACTAGAACTGAACTAGAACTGAACTAGAACTGAACTAGAACTGAACTAGAACTGAACTAGAACTGAACTAGAACTGAACTAGAACTGAACTAGAACTGAACTAGAACTGAACTAGAACTAGAACTGAACTAGAACTGAACTAGAACTGAACTAGAACTGAACTAGAACTGAACTAGAACTGAACTAGAACTGAACTAGAACTGAACTAGAACTGAACTAGAACTGAACTAGAACTGAACTAGAACTGAACTAGAACTGAACTAGAACTGAACTAGAACTGAACTAGAACTGAACTAGAACTGAACTAGAACTGAACTTGAACTGAACTGAACTTGAACTGAACTAGAACTAGAACTGAACTGAACTGAACTAGAACTGAACTAGAACTGAACTAGAACTGAA